GTTTTTAAAAAATGTCAACGTTGATGATGATAATAATAATAATAAAATGTTTCTTGAGCATCAGATCATCATATTAGACTGATTTTTGAAGAATCATGTGACACTGAAGACTAGTGTAATGGATGCCGAAAATTCAGCTTTGCACAGGAATAAATTACATTTTAAAATATATCCAAAATGAAAACAGTAATTTTCATTTGTACTAATATATAATAATATACAAACTTTTGAATTGTAATGTAAATTTAAAAAAAGTAACTGAAACCATGACCACGCCACTTACCACCCTGAACGGGCACGTAGGTGACCCTGTAACTGTCTACTCGGGTAAGGGGCAAAGTCCAGTGAACAGTAGCTGATGTATCTGTCACATCAGAAAAGCGTATCCCCTTGGGTGTTCCCAGACCTTGGTGGGAATGACACACACAGAAGAAACAAACAAAAATATACTGTTAAAAATGTGTGTTCAAGCATTTGACAAATAGGAGTTAAAAACAAAACCTTTCCCCAGAAACAAGTAATTGCAGACTGTAAGAGAAACAAAAATGCAGTTGATGTAAAGAAACTTCTTGAACTACCCCATTTATCTTGCTGTGACAAATAGATGCATCAAAGTAAACATTCAGGACATGAGGATGACCAACTGTGTGACTACAGAGAAAGGACACACAGACAAAAGCCCTGGCCTTAAAGCCATGTCTCAACACTGGTCCTCAGAATCTTGCGTGACAGATGCAAGCAGATTAACTTGCCCCCCAGTACAGAGACACAATAGTGCGACATGCCAACATCAGACACAAGTGGAAAATGAAGCTCACTAATATAAAGGAAGATTACCAGACACAAGCACGCAAACAGGACAAATACACAAAATAGTTGGTCCTGCTTTGTAAATAAAACCTTCGATCACACAGCAGATACAGACAGACAAAGTAAAACAGAGAAGACTTGGATGCAACTCGATGTTGTTAATTAGAGACTCTTGTGCTACTCTGTGGACTCAATGAGGAAAAAGAATATGAGAGATGTTGTAAATTTGTTTAAAAATGGGAAAGTAGGTAATGGATCAATTAAAAAGTCTTCAAAATAGGTTTGCTGTGTTGTGTTGTGAGTTTTGACCAAACTAGCTAACAGAAATATTAATGCATTGAAAATGAGAGGGGAAAAGACTTAGTGGCTCCTCCACCAGCTTCTCTTAAAAATCCAAATACCTGTTCGAGCTACAGCCACAATGGGCTGGAATTTCCGTCCCAAAATGATCCCAAAGAGCTCGATTTCATACTCTGTATCTTCATTGAGACCTGTCACCGCTTCTGTTCGCTTGTCTCCAGATACACTGATCTGGAGAGGTTGTCCTAGTCTGTTAGAATCGACGACTTTGAGAGTGAATGTATCAAAGATGCCTTCTGGTGCTGTCCATGTCAGTTTAAAGCTGCGCAGGGTGATGTCCGAGACCGAAAGATGCTCCACTTCAGGTTCAGCTTCTGGTTGACAAAAATAATGAAGTTGTTCTTCGACTGTAAATTCTGTGAAATGTACTTAGAAGAGGTTAAATGGCCAAGAACAGAAATGTGGTTCCCTGAACCAATTTATTCCTGTTTGTGGTGTTTGTTAAAACATCATATAAATTTGAGAAGGGGAAAACATTGCTGTATAAGAGACAATTCAGTGATTATGTTACTCATGCATGAAAATAGGCTATTGTTCAGTCATCTATCCGTTGTTCCTATATCTATGGCAGGTGATGCTGAAATCAGTGAGCCAGTAAATTTAATTTAGATATTTGGATTAGAATATGGAATGAAATATGGTTAGTAGAAAAAAAATGACATTGATGTATTTTCCACCATTATATTAGGTTCCAACATCATAATTGTATCATCATATAATAGCAGTCATGCAGGGTTCAAGACAGAGCTGTTCTTGGACAATGACATATCCATAATAACCATACTGACAGACGGGCTCATCCTGAAAATGCATTTTTGTCTCGTTTTTAGCTGATCTTGCAAGAAGGCCACTGAAAATTAATATATGAATTTTTAGAGGGACGTCTCTTGAGAAGCAATTGTTGTGGTAAGGATATGTAAAACTGAAAACCTAAAGCCTCAGGGATGTCTTTGACCACATGAGCAATGCATTGTGTTTTCAACAATAGCCTTGTATGTGCCAGAATGTGGTCCAGTTTTAAAATGCTGTGGTTTGCTTTTCATGTACCAAGAATCAGTTACTGCCTCACCCACATTTTACATATTAGATTTACTTGTCTTTACTTTAGAAGTCAATGATAGCACCATACATTCAGTTGATTAAGGTTTTTATTAAGAATTAAGGAGAAGGTGGAGCATATTGACTTATAATAACTTGACCTAATTCAATATGCTAATACAGTTAAGGCTGTACTTAATTTAATATTGTACATTTGTATTTTTGCTCAGTTTAATTTCTAAAGACTTGTCAGAAAAGTCAAAACCAGAGACATTTAACAATCCAGCAGGCAGACTCTAAATGTATAGTTTATTTATAAATGTAATAAAAAATAACATTTTAAAAGGAATAACTATATAGTTTGTTTAGAATTGAAATTTGGGATTAATCTTGTTTATTACATAATTCAGCAGACGGGAAGAGTGTTGACATTTCACAGAACCTGTCACTGACTTAAAAGAGGTTTGGTTTGTTAGTGCTTTGTACATTTGATAGATTATCTGCATCTGAAATCATGTACTGTCAGAGTATGTATTTGTCTACGAAGTATGCATGTGCTGTAGTATAAATACAATTCTGACATATTATTCAACCATGTTGATCTTGTCACGTGACTTATGACATCAGCCACATCGCAGCTCCTTGCTTTTTACAAATACTGTATGATGTCCAGCGGACCATATGATTTATGAAAACTGTTTATTCTGACATACTACATTTGATGTATCGTTTTTCATGAAAAAAAAAAAAAGACCAGTAATAACTGTGAAGAATAACTGTCAGAAAGTTGTAGTGACAAACAAACTAATTTGCAGTCTTTTCTCTTGCAACCTATTAACATCCAAGCACCAGCTTGCTGAGACAGCTTTGGTATTAATGGCCCTGAGAAAAGCCATTAATTTTTGAAGGTCCTGCCTAGCCTGCCTGAGCAGAGGTACGCTGAACACTTCAAATATGGGAGGCAGCCATGCAGCGCGGTGCATTGCAACCTATAACTGAACATCATTGTGCATTGTAAGCATTCACAGGCAAAGAGGGGGCAGATAGCTAAGAAATGCACGGTGGGCTAACCATTATCCTGTCTATGCACATTCAAAAGGGCAGAAACGTGGCGTGCAAATAGGGAGAGAGACAATGGGGATGAAGAGAATGACCTTCCCAGGCATAAGGGCTGATTGTCGCTTTAGAAACCTGGAGATGAAACAATACGAAGCTGTCAAACAGCAAAACAACTCATTGATCATCTCGCGTCATTCATGGGAACTGAAATTTAGTGAAATTGATTCCTTTTGCACACTTATCCAATAGAGTTCCCTCCACTGAAAGCAGCCCATGTATGTCTGAGGAATGGCCTTCACTGCATGCATGCATTAATGGGAGGAGACAGAATAAAATAATGGCTTTATCACTGTGAGATCCTCAAGCCACAAACACCTCAAGGGTGTTTGGATAAAGCCTTTTTTGTAAACATGCACACGTCCCATTTACCGTTGCTTGGTGAATTTACGCAGGCAAATTTTTGTTATTTCAATGGGTATCCATGTGGTAATTCTGTGTGAAGGTGAAAGATTTCCCCACAGAGATTTTGCAACGGGTTCAAACTGGTCTCAAGGATTTGCTGTGTTGACCAACAGAAAGCCTCTTGGTTTGAAAGTGACTTCTGTGTAAGCTTTGCTTCATACAGTAAATTAGCTACACTATTGACAATAGACCTTTTTTGCCCACAAAATTTTGCTGATACCTTAACACAACATAACATAACTTTGTGCATGCATAAGTGACTGTTTGCTCTCTGATTTTTGGCCTGGTTGTGTCCTCATATGTTTCCTTTGAAATGGTCTTGGTCATCAGGTCTCCAAGTTACAAGCTGAAACTCTTATAATCATGCCAAAGAAGCATTCAGTGAGCAGAAGAAAGCCCAGACCTCAAGGTCTCCCTGCCCCCTACCTTCCCATTTCCATTGGGTCTGAGGGAAGTGTATGCCCATGTTTGTGTGCCGTATCTAAGGCCTATAATGGCTGCTGAAATAAATGCATTGGGATTATAGTACTGGTGATTTCAGAGACAACATTTTAACAGGCGGCTCAGCATGTGTCCTATTTATCAGTCCACCCCACAGTTCATTGTGGTCAAATCACACAAATCCAAAAGGGGAGTGGGCTCACGCTGCCGATTATCACATGAATGAGCTTTCTGAGCGTGTGTGAGTGTGTATGTTTGGGATCTTGAGAAACACTATATCTGTTGTCTTGCCTTGGCGACCAAAGCAAACAACTGATGTTATATTCTGTAGCTCCTTGGTATTAGTCAATGATTATCCTGTTATATAAGCAAGAACATTTTGGTAACAAAATTTTGGAAGTTAAGTAAGTAGCATTCTGTCCACAGATATTTTGGCTTTCATTGGTTTTTCTCTAAAAAGAAAAATGCTATAAATGAGGGCAGAGAAGAGGGATATTAGGCTTCAGTTTCCAGTACATGGTGGAATACTGACAATATGAATGTTTTGAGATTTTTATGGAAGTTTTATCATGATAAGGAGCTACAAAATATTTAATTCAAATTCACAGAACAAGGACTGCAGTATCTTCAAACTCCAAAAGCAATATTGACACTTATGGGGGGAAAATAGCAAAGATAATAAATTCCAGAGTTGCCTTCAGATCCTCAGTGGCCTGCTGAATAAATTTTTATGGGTGAAAAAACAAATAGATTCAAATCATATTTTTGAAAGCTTATTTTATGATTCAAACCAATATTGCTTTTGTCACTCTAGGGGCAAAACTAAAGGGGATATGAAGATGCATTCTTAATATACATATGAAAATGTAATGATGCATACCAACCTGTGGATGCTGACAGAGTGGCTGGCGCACTCATCTTTCTTCCTTTCTTGGCAGTCAGGCTAATGGTGTACAGCATGCCGGCATTCAGGTCAGTCAGTATGTAGGTATTGGCAGCACCAGGTACTTCCAATTCAGTTTCTGTGCCATCCGCAGATGTGAACACCAGCTCGTAGGTGTCGATTTTGGCCACCGGCCTCCTCCAAACCAGTGCCAATGTGGTCTCTGTGGTCTCACTTACTTCAAGGTCTTTGGGAGCATCAAGATCTAAGAGGACCGGGACATTACATTAAAGGGCAAGTTCATTTAAAAAAATGAACAATTCTGTCATCATTTACTTATTCTCATTTCGTCCCAACCTGTATTTTGTTCCGTTGAACCCAACAGTAGAAATTTTGAAAAAAACTTGGTTGCTTTTTTCCATGCAATTGAATGAATGGGAATTGGAGCTTTTAAGCTTCAAGAAGAATGCAAAAGAATCATTAAAATAATCACTTGTTTGTTATATTCGAAATCTTCTGAAACTACTTTTGATAATCCAGGGGGCTGTTAACCATTGTAACCAGATGATTGAGTCAGTGAGCTGAACTTGAGAACTGAACAAATCATTTAGACCTGTTTTGTGAACTGGATCATATAATTCATTAAAATGATCCAATTCAAAAGAATTAATAATTTACAAATCAAACATGAACAAACCAAAAAGAGCTATGGTGGATGACACTATTTTCAATAAATCACAATTTACATTATGGGTCTGTTTGTCACACAAAGGCTTTAGATGATTTGGATTATGGCACAGGATTCATATGGACAATTCTTATGATACATGAGCACTTTGACACAGTGCTTTTTTGTCAATTTGGTACTTGACAGCCCCAGTCCTCGTTCACTTTTGACATAAGAGTGAGTGAATCATTTAACATTACATACCCTACAACTGGGCTTTATTAAGAAACTGGGCTTTATTGGCCTTTATAAGAGGAAAAAAGGGGGAAGACGAGCACATTGACAGAAGTAAAACATGCGAGTTACTGACCATTTTGTTAAGTCTTACCAGTCACAGCATTGGTCGTCGCAGGCAAACTCTCACGCTCTTCCTTGATTGACGTCACTCCCATTCCATACTCCGTCCCGGGCCTAAGGCCTAAGAAAGAGCCCAACAAATCCAATCCTCTCAAATCATTAGACAAAAGAAACCATTAATCTCTCACATTAGTTGTTTTTGGAACCTCCGTGGTAGGCAATTGTTTTCATACTTGCCACAGCATGGTTTCAATTTCATCTGCACGCCATATCAATCTAATGTCCTTCATTGGCCGCATCAAAGAACTACTCCACAGGCCAGAAACAATATTTACAATCATGCAAGCGATTCTCAGATCCCCTTAGCCCAAATCCCACACTTTGCCCCTCTTAATGCGTGTATTGGCTCCTGCAGAGGTCACTGCGCAGGAGTCCTCCAGCATGAAATTACGCCTAATGCAGAGGAAGCTCATTATCAATAAAATCACAGGCGTGACAGCAATTACAGATAATAACTGTGTGAAAGAGACAACTAGTGATATGTGTGTGTGAGAGAGAGACTCTGCATTATTTAGTCGAACAGATCGTCCGCCTTATTTACAGGGAACAGGCCTCCCAAGGACAAAGGAGCAAACCAGACAAAGAATCTATTATCCATTTTGAATCAATTTTTCTCCCAGCCATGATAATCCCTGCTTGCGGTAACACATGGTTGTCGAGAATAAGAATTAGCACAGGAGATTGCCTCAAAGCACAAGTGTATAATAGAAGTGCTTCTGCGATGAAGAAAGCCTCTGCTTTCCCTTTTTGACTGAGATTTTCACATTGAAGCACCAGTGTTACTTCATTTAAGGCATGAATAAGGCATTACCAACAAAAGGGATAGCATCTCATTCCCTTTTAGTCACGTAAACATTTCACATTACTAAAACAAATGCGCTCATTTAGAAATAAAGTGTTTATAGGTACAAGTATGGGGGGGGGGAAAACCCATTTGGAGCTTTGACGCTTAAAAATGTAGGAACATTTTGAACTAGCCTAATTCTATTCAGACCAACAGCGGGATTCCAATTGTTTTAAAACCTGTTTGAGAATGCTTTTTGAAAATATGACTTCACACTTCAACACCTGAGAACAACAATTCTCATTTCAAGAGGATACAAATGGCTTGGAAGTGCAGATGGGTCATTTTCAAGTATTAAAATAAAAATAAACTGGTTTACTGAAAACTGCTCTAGTGTTTGGTGCACACTGCACCTGAGCCTAATTTTATTCCACTTTTCAAACATAGTTTTTGATCTCTATGATCTGTTTGTAATTGATGTGGTTTGTGATCACTGGAGAGGAATTATTGTGTAATTCAAATTGGCCTCTCACCAGTGATTTTAGCCTGAGTGGTGTCTTGCGGGCCACTGGGGAAGACCAGTTCTCCATGCTCCCCTCCAGAAAGTGGGCCGTATTTGACGCGGTAATTGAGGACATTGGCTCTGCTGTTTTTCCACTCCAGAGTTATGCTCTCATCTGTCTGTTCAACTGCCTTGAGCTGCTTGGGGGCATCAAGGTCTGAAACATGCCAACATGAGGATGAAAGAAAATACTTCCTGTAGACGTACAGTTATCCTCCAGGGCAAGACAAACAAAACTGCTTCAACGCAGGTCTAAGTACAACACACAATTATCAGTAGACTTGCAAAAGCAGACTGAATTTTCACTTTAAGTTTCTGAAATGATTTCTAGTTGTTGAAAGGAGTTTGTACCTGTTGTGAAGGTCTCATAGACTGGAAAGCTGGTCATCTCTCCCCTGCGGGCCATGAGAGAGACCTCATACTCTGTGTCAGGGTACAGCTCAGCCAGATGGTACTGTGTATCCATGGAGGAAAGCTTGATTGTTTTCCTGTCTGAGGAATCTGTGTTTGGGCCATAGGACACAGAGATGCCATCCACCTGAGCGACAGGCTGAAACCAGGTGATAAGGGCTGTAGTGTCTGTCACATCACGCACATCCACCTGGCTGGGAGCATCAATCACTGTGGATGAGAGGACAGGTTTGTGACAGCTGGGCAACAAAATGGGAACATTTATGCAAGCAGATGAGCTAAAAACAGCTGCTATACAGTTTTTGATGTCAATAGCCTCTAAATATGATGATCACTCTCCTAAAAAAATTACTAATATATATATATATATATATATATATATATTTTTTTTTTTTAATTTAAAAAGACCCATTTATACGAATTTATAAGAATTCTTTTTCATATTGTCATTGTGCTGCATAAAAAAAAAAGTTAATAAAATAAAACATAACTAAAACAAACGTTGCAAATATTAAAAATAAAATAGTTCTAATTCAATCAAGAAATAGCTTTGGTTATTTGGTTAATTACTTTGGTTCCCTGAAATAGAATCGTAATCCTTGGAGAACCCAGTTTGGGGGGGGGTTCTATTTGCTATTATTTATTGCTATATATATTGCTATATCCCTACATTTTATCTGCACACCTGCGTCTCTAAAACTAAAAACATAGGTCCTTATTTTCGTGGTAAAATCAGTTTGTTTGATTAGGAAAAGTACTGAGAACTCATACTTATGTGAACTTAAGATAACAGAGGAACTGCATGCAGCTTAGTGTAGATTTGTGCATGTGAGATGCTCCAATGCACTAGTTATCTCACAGCTTCTCATGTTGCTGAGTGGTGCCTCCCACACACAGAGAGTGAGGGAGAGAACTCACTTTGAGCAATTAGTCCCCCTTTAATGCAAATCCTGTGTGGCACAAGTCGAAGAAATGGAGTAGATGGAGCGTTAGAGGCATGCTGGGAGATATTTTAGACATTTGTAAGAAACTCTGGTTACTTGCACTGACAGCATAAGAGGTCAATGTTATAACGGCAAAATAATCTTCAGTGATTTCTAAAAAAAAGGTAGTGATAAAAGTGAAAGGATATTTGGGAAATGTCACAATGGTAAAAGGTTTTTCAGCAAACCATAAGCCATTTTTGAAGTATAAAATTTGAGGGTAAACCCTTATTAGGATATCATATATCATATAATATAGTTGAAGTGGATAAAAAAGCTTGTAATGCTCTTTTCTGTAGCTGTTACTCAGATTATGTGGTGTAATACAAAAATGTTAATATTAATTGGAATGTTACTTTATAGTTTCATACTGATTTAGGAAGGTGACGGACTCATATGAGAAATATATCCCAAAAACTCATCAAATAAAAATATATTATATATTATTCAATATTATTACAAGACCTTAAATTGTATAAAGATGATAACTTGATGTGTTTAAGTAATATTAAGTAATATTGTAAAATATTATTATTATTATAACTGTTTTCTATTTTAAAATGTAATTTATCCCTGTTATGGCAAAGCTGAATTTTCAGCATTAGTTTCTCTAATCTGATCACTTGATCTTTCAGAAATCATTCTAATATGCTGATTTGGTGCTTTAGGATTATTGGATGAGTAGAAAGTTCAAAACTCAAAATAATAATTTTAAATGCTCAGCAACTCACTGCACTGCAAATAACTGACAATTAACATAAACCGCTGACTGCTCTTTCTAATTCCAGGTAAGAAATTAGTCTCTTTAAAAAAACAAAACAAAAAAAAAACCTCCAGAAAAACAGCAGACTGGTCATGGCCGTCAGTTAATTACTGTTGATAACTGCTTACTTGTGACAACGTTCTTGCTGGCTGGGGGTCCACGGATGCTGTTCTTTACGACCTCAAGCTTGACTTCATACTCTTGTCCAGGTCCAAGACCAGACTGCTCAAAGGTGGTCTCAGGAGGGGTGAGAGAGTTCAAAATCTCTCCATCCTCTTCTTTCTGCCATTCAAAAACAGATTTTTTTTTGTTGAATTGAACTGGTGAATATATTAAATCTAATAACAAATCGCTGGTCAAAGGTTCTGCTGGTTAATAAAAGAGCACCACAAATCATCAAAGAAGCAATCTCAGGAAAAGTCAAGCTCCCATGAACTACAGGGTAATGAAAGGGTGTCCTGAGAGTAAACACTTTGGTCTATTAGCTGATTCTACTTGGATGAGTGTTTTAATTCACAGTGAGAGTTATTTTGGCATTGACATCCCTAAACTGTGAATGCGTGAATGAGACTGCCAAGCTGTATTTTGAAAGAGGCATGCAGGGGAGGTTTGCATGTTCTAATGGTGCTGTTTTTTTGGAGTTTGCATAAGCCCTTGAGAAAGAAAATCAAGCATTACAGAGACAATAACAATTCTGTGGCACATGGTCACGCATGCTGTTGCCAGGAGCTTCTTAGAGGGTTTTGTCTTGCAAAACCACAGACTTCTCGACAGTAGCTTTTTGCTTAGTGGCACCACTCAGCTATTTTCCACTGGGTGCCTTTTGAGCTTCTCATTTTAAACTATTACTTTCAAACAGAAGGGTCCTTTTATATTACATCTTTTAAGAGAAAATATTAGGGCAAAGATAGACTTTAGGATCATAGCCACCCTAGAGACTTATGGAAGATGCCAGGACACTCACTGTGTTTCTGAAGATGAGGTTCCAGCCATCAAACGGGATGTTCAAGGGGTCCCACTCCACCTCCACTGAGGTCTCTCTAACCGATTTGAATTTCAGACCCTCGGGTTCAGGAAGATCTGATTGTAAGATATAAAGCAGTTTAGCAAAATATACTCAGTACAGAATAACAAGTAATTTTCCTAAGCATGATGATGGGTGACTTACGTGTGGCTATTCTGGCACTGACAGGAACACTCATCTTACTGTTCAGGACAGCAAAGACACTAATTAGGTACTCTATGCCAGGCTCAAGCTCCTTAATAGTGGCTGTCTTCTTTTCACCAGAGACTTTCATTTCCATCTCCAAGCCACCAGGAGCCGTAGGCACATAGGTGATAAGATACTCCGTCACAAGCATCTCATTGACCCAGGCAAGGTCCACTGTTTCTGGATCGACCTCAGTCACAGTAAGGTCTCTGGGTGGGGAGACTGTGGTTTGAAACGTCAAATTATTGACTTAATCTTAGCTCAGAACCTCTGAGTAAAAGAGGAACATGCAGGACATTTCCTTTACATTGAACAGTTTGTGGGAGAGAGAATTGTTAAGACAAATACTTCATTCTATGCCAGATGAATGTGCAGGGACAACTAAATAAACCTTTCATAGATAGATTTCCTAAAACAATGTGGCTCTATGGTGCAGTCAAAACATTTCCTGTCATAGCAACACTCAACTAATGACATGAGATTAGGGCGGAACTACTGGTTAGTCTGACCAATAGCAGATGGGGAGGAGCGTTTGGGAAACCTGTTTGAAACAGTTGTTTGTGCAATTTTGTTTGATGATGCCATTGATGTTATCCTAGCTTTGTCACAATTATTAATTTTGGCTGACAGGAAATTGTCATACAAATAATTGCAAATAATGGTTTAATTATCTGTTTTGTTCATGTCACTTAGAGTGCAAATACACATATACCAAGAGTCATTTATTCATACTTAATTTGGAATAATATAATATAATATAATATAATATAATATTATATTATATTATATAATATGCTGTTCTCAAAGACAATTTGAAGTGCTCACAAAGAAAATGCACATTTGTGACCCTGGACCACAAAACCAGTCATAAGGGTCTTTTTTTTTTAAATGTATTTAGGTTTATACATAACATGAAAGCTGAATAAATAAGCTTTCCATTGATGTATGGTTTGTTAGGATAGGACAATATTTGGCTGAGATACAACTATTTGAAAATCTGGAATCTAAGGGTGCAAAAAAAATCTAAATATTGAGAAAATCACCTTTAAAGTTGTCCAAATGAAGTTCTTAGCAATGCATATTACTAATAAAAAAAATTACAGTAGAAAATTTACAAAATATCTTCATGGAACATGATCTTTACTTAATATCCTAATGATTTTTGGCATAAAAAAAATAAAAAATGATTAAGACCAATACGATGTCTTTTTGGCTATTGCTACAAATATACCCCAGCGACTTAAGACTGGTTTTGTGGTCCAGAGTCACATTTGGCATTTCTATATTTGCTTATTGTTATTCAATTAGCTCATATTGGGGTTCTGTAAAAATCATGACAGACCATGCTTTGCCTTTCGAGAAACTATAATAGGCATAAAAGTGTAAGTATAGCCTACACATATGCAGTGTAAGTATAACCTACACATATGCAGTGTAAGTATAACCTACACATATGCAGTGTTACATATGCTAGTGTAAATTATAGTGACTTACTTTCAGAGCAGTCGTCGCCAGTGAAGCCTAAATCACATATGCACATTCCATTCAGACACTGGCCTTGGTCATTGCAGTTTGCTGGGCATGTCAGAACAGAGCAGTCCTCACCGGTGTACCCCTCAAAGCAGACACACTTTCCATCTTCACAGTAGCCACGGTCCAGGCAGTTGTTGGGACACGTCTTTGTACCACAGTCCTCCCCAGTGAATCCGATGTTACACACACATTGGCCATTTACACAACGTCCTCGGTTATGGCAGTCACTGGGGCAAGTCGATTCGCTGCAGTCGTGGCCTGTAAAACCAGCATGGCAAACACACTTGCCATCCACACACTGTCCACGCTTATGGCAATGATTGGGACAGGTTTTGATACTGCAGTCTTCTCCAGCAAAGCCATGGTGGCAAACACACTTGCCGTCCACACATTGTCCATGTCCATGGCAGTGATAGGGACAGGTCTTGATGCCACAGTGTTCTCCAGCAAAGCCATTATGGCAAACGCATTTGCCGTCTACACACTCTCCGCGTCCATGGCAGTCATGGGGACAGGTCTTGATACTGCAGTCTTCTCCAGTAAAGCCCATTTTGCAAATGCATTTCCCATTGACACATCGGCCACGATCGTGACAGTTATTGGGGCAAGAAAGTTCAGAGCAGTCATCACCTTCATACCCAACATCACAAATACACTCACCATTTACGCACTGTCCCCTGTCATTGCAGTTGTCAGGGCAGGAAAGAATGCTGCAGTCGTCGCCCTCTAACCCAGGGTCACATATGCACTTCCCGTTGAAGCAGTGCCCTCTCTGACTGCAGTCATTGAGGCAGGTTAACTTGGAGCAGTCATCACCGCTGTAGCCAATATTGCAGACGCACTGTCCATTGACACACCTGCCATGGTGGTTGCAGTTTTTGGGGCAGGTAAGCTCCCCACAGTCCTCCCCAGTAAAGCCCTCTTCACAATAGCAGGTTCCATTGTCACAGCGGCCACGGTCGAAGCAGTCATTGGGACAGATGAGCTCAGAGCAGTCAAAGCCCGTCCAAGGCTCTTCACATACACATTCGTCATCCACACAACGCCCCCTGCCAAGGCAGTTGTTTAGGCAGTTGGTCAAACTGCAGTCCTCACCGATAAAGCCCTCTGCACAGATGCAAGCTCCGTCGATGCACTCTCCATTCTCACCACAATCCACAGGGCACAGCTCGATGCTGCAGTCCTCACCGCCAAAGCCCTCGAAGCAGACACACTTGCCGTCTTCACAACGGCCTTGATCCTGGCAAAAGTTTGGGCATTCTGGCTCAGAGCAGTTGACTCCCTTCCAACCGGGCTCACACACACAGCTGCAGGTCTCAGTGCTGTAGTTGCCACGGCCACTGCAGTAGGGATTTGTTGTGACTTCACCTGCTAAAGAGGTCTTTAGTCATTTTTGGCTTATGCTGAGAAACACTTTCATGCTGGCTTAGACAGGAATGGGAATTGTACAGAATCGAACGATTCCTTAATGGTTTCATTAACATTTCTTTAAGTATTTTTAAAGAATAAATACTAAAAATCTGACATTTTCTTGGCAATTTCAATGATGAAAAAAACAAGAAAAAATTTAAAGGTTTGTGCAGATAAATGCAATACAATAACTGCCATTTGGCTTTAACATCACTAGCAATACACAAGCAAAAATGAGGTAACAATTCATTTAGATTTGTACAATAATACAGACAAAATGCATAATGTGATTTAACTATATGTTGTCATATAACCAGTCTGTAAAAACTACATTGATTTAATTTAAGTGAGCTAAAAAGCTGTATGTGTTTGAGTCACTAAAAAGATCAATTAAAAGAACCAGTCATTACAGTCAATTGGAGCACACTGTTGCGCTGCATGTTCAAGATTCACTAGAAAAAAATCTGATCTTTTTTTTTACGATACTGATTATAAATAAAAAGCAAAACCAATTTTGACAGGTTTGTTTCGCGATCATGAAGAAAGGTCGAGATAAGTAATGGCTCGAGTCATTTGTGAGGATGAAATGAATCAAAATATCTTTATCAATGCAACAACAGTCAGAGAGGGAATTTTTGGGGAGGCTGATATCTAAATTCAAATTGTTTGAACCAATGAAAATGACTGCAGCAGGAAAGAGTTTATTTTTAGTGATATCTCTTGCCCTAACCACAAGCAGGCTTGATGACACACTAATGTGGTACTAAAAGCCAATTGGGTACAGTACCTGTGATAATGACTGGTTATGTACAGTATATGTTCATGCCTTTATATAGGTATGCAGAAGGGGGCAAATTGTATTTATCTTGTGCCTTTTTCCTTTTTTCTGCCCCATTTTGGACGGAAGCAAATAGCTTTGTGTCATTTGGATATTCTTTCTGATTGGTCAGTTTAGCAGTGAGCACAGCCTTTCAGCCTGATCAGCCTCCTCTAATATTCATGTAGTGATTAAACTCTGAGCTACTACATGAAAAAATCTAAATAAAAAGATTCTGTGTTATGCCTGTCAGTGGATAAAAACAAAAGTTAAAGGGATAGTTCTTTAATTAAAGAACTAATTAAAATTCTGTCATCATTTACTCACACTCACTTTGTTCCAAAACTTTCTCACATTCTTTCTTCTGTGGAACATAAAAGAAGATATTTTGAAAAATGTCTCAGTGTTTATTTTATTTATTTGTATTTTTGTCCATTATACAATGGAATTCAAAGGCCCAAATGTTTAGTTAACTATATTCTTTAAAATATTTGCAGAAGAAAGAAATGTATGCAGGTGTGGAGCAACGTGAAGATAAGTAAAGAATTTCCATTTTGGGATGAACTAATATTTTAACTTATGGCGCTTTTCCACTGCGTGGTACGACTCTGCTCGGCACGGCTCAGTATGGCACGGCACGGTTCGGCTCGGCACGGTTTGCATTTCCACTGCAGTTCAGTACCGCTTTAGAGTGGGCGGGATTATTCACATGTCATTATAGTTACGCCGCCTCTACTACCACAACTCCTAAAAAAAACTTTTTCATTCCACGACGCCCCATCAAGCTCTCGCTGGATCCGCTCCTCTGCTATCAACGAGAGGAACGTCTTCTGCAACAGACAACAAAACTTTTTTGTTAAAAAAAAGGTGCGCTCGTTCAAAACAGTTGAGTTCGATCCTTCGCTGGCTGTGCTGATTTAAATCTACCAGTTCTTTTGTGTTTGTGTCGCAAGTTCAGTGATGCAGGTAGTGACGATTCTCTCTGGCCAATCCGTGATCAGCAGAGTTTACACGTCAGGTTTTGGTAACGGTACAGTTCACTTGGAACCCCAACCGAAGTGGTACTAAAAAAAAAGTACCAGGTACCAGGTACTGTAGCCAGTGGAAAACCCCCCAGAAGTGAACCGTACCGTGCCGTACCATGCAGTGGAAAAGCGCCATTAGTCAGCATCAGAATTGTTTTGTTTCTTTTGTATACATTTGTAATGAGACTCAGCCTCCTAATGGACTACCAAAGTATCTATGTAATATTTGGCCTCACCTGTAACCTGAGCACCACAACAGCTTGTTCCACTGGTGCACTGCTCTCTTAGACTGGATACCTCTGCTTCTAGCATTTCAAGCCTATTCAGAAGATTCTTCAGGTCGGGCATGTGGTTATCACAACTACAAGCTTGCTTGGGAATGTTAATCCTATGCGTAAAAACAATCTGATTCTCTCCGTCTGTGGTGTGTCCTATGTGTTGGTCAGATGGCAGATTGGCCGATTTTGGCTTCAATTGTGTTGTTCCAGGTGAATCCAAGTCCACAGAGCACAGTGATCCAGAGGGAACGTTGATGTTGTATACATGGTTAAAAACCACAGGCTGATCAGGACTTGGGAGGGTCAAGTTCTCAGTGGTTGGTGACAGCGATTCTCTTCTGTGTCTAATTACTCTTTTCACCAGGCCAGCACTAGAGAGATTAACTAAAATGGCTACTGCCACACAGGCCAGTAGCAGGCCTCGCGTCCCCATGATGATTTGTTCCTTGACTCTTCCTACTGGCGTGATTGTTCAAATTGTTTGAAGATACTGGAGATGTGGGTTTAATCCTGCAAAATGGAATTAGAACAGTCACTCAGATTGCTTTTACACAGTTCTTTCTAATGCATATCCAAGTGTGAACTAGGAATCCAGTGTCAAATTGCACTTATCCTTGAAAAATAGAAAATGAAACATATAAATTACACCAATAATGAAAAATCCAGTCATTTAAACCAATATTAAAAATAAAATAATTTGATGAATTAAAAATAAAAACTAAGGTATATAGTGTATTTGTATCATAGACTTCCCTCAGAAAATCATGACATAAGAAAAAGGAAAATTAAATGCTTTAATCCTCGACTCTTGTGCACTTTCCAACCAGAATGAATTATATTCAACTAAAGTAAACCACATCAAACTAGGGAGTGTTCATATTCAGAATAAAACATCCAGCAAAAAAATAAAAAAGAATTAAGCATGCATGTCAGTAAGCAACACTGCAGGATAGACAGACACTAAGTACAACCCAGGTTATGGTTGCCTTGGCTTCCACAAAGATCATCTCTGGCCAATAAAAGCAAGGCAAACTTCAGCTCAGGAGCGAGGGCTCCAGCAGCGTTTCCTATGACAGGCTGCCATGACACACAGCAGGCAACACCTGAGTCTGAGGAGCGTACTCTACTCTCTGACGCTCTGCCCACAGCCCATGCTGACAGATTAATACTCGCGTGGAGGAGACCATCTGCAGTGCTTCCGCTAGCGTGGGTGTTTAGAGTTTGCGCTTCTCATAAAAGTTAGCATTCTTGGACCATTCTCCAGACAGCAGCAGAGTTTTGCTTTAAAACACACAGCTTTCTCATTAAAAGAAGTTAGAAGTATAGCTTTTGCAGTGCTCAGGGGGCTTGTCACTCACTAAGTGCATTGGTCTGTTAAACATTTCATTAAAATAAAATAGCTGTAATAGCTTTTCAATGTTACTGTGCTGTATTGTAGAGTGTAATAGGGAGATTGAGGATGTCTGTGTTTAAACAGTCCTGATGTGCAGGTCATATGGTCACATACTTGGCAACTACAGGATTGCAGATTCAGTTTTCCATATAGCTGTTTTCCTGAATGTTATGAAAACCAAATGGGATCCATTTAAGATGGAAATAACCACCTTCCAAAAATGCAAACACTGACTTTTTAATACCATAAAACACCCAATATTTATGTCAAATTAAGAACATTTATGTGTCTATTGTCTAGCCATTCAAACACATTTAACCCCTTAACATGAAAAATGATTCTTTATACTTTAAAGTAATAAATTTGACATAAAAGAGATTTGCAATTCTTTAATCATTTTGAAAATATTTTGATGAATTCTTTTGTGCATCAAATGAAAGTAAGTGTGGTCTAAAACAACACTGAGTGGACCCCATTAACTGCACTGACTAAACTAAACTAAACTACTAAAATAAAATAAAATAAAATAAAATTTAGCAAAATATATTCTTTGTGTTCTACAGAAGAAAGAAAGTCATACAGGTTTGGAACGATGTAGAGTAACTAAATGATGACAGAATTTACATTTTTGGATGAACTATCACTTTGAAACAAAATCATTGGAACAGTGCATTGGAACAGTCCTTCAGTAACAAAAGAACAATACAAAGTGGTTACACAGATCATAATTTTATCAAGGCTGCAGGGGGGCTGACCCAAAGTCACACCTTGCAAGGTGTTGACCTTGCAAGCTGTGAATAAAAGCAGGTAATATCTTGCCAGGATCTGTTTAGTGAGTGGAGAGCTCACTTTGACATGTGATTAGCGGGACTGACAGATGAGCTCCAGTGAGAGGGATCCCACGGCTGCTGCCGCCCATCCGTGATTAGACAGACAGGGATGAATGCTTCTGTGATGGAGCGCTTAAGGGGGGCTCGATGATGGGAGACTCCCAATCTGGACCCTCGGGGGTGAAGGGGACCTACTCCGCTTCTTGTTCCTCACGTCTAAACCCTGGAATTAAATCAGCAAAATAGGCAGAAAATTGCTTTGAGTCGCTTTGCAGTTTTAGTTCTGGATGGGTAGCTGGCTTTTTCACTTTGAAACCTGGCTTGTTGCCACAAGAATCGAAAAAAGAAAATTACTTTGAAGGAGAAAGCTGGTCTTTGTGTGGGCATTTGCCCTTACACCCTTAACCCCTAGCTAAAGGTGGACTGTAAATGAAGGAAACTGGCTTCATGGCAGCAATGATGGATATGCTTGACTATGAAAGAATTAGCAGTTATTATCATTAGATTGGAAGAGATTTCTTCATTTATTTATTTATGTATTTGCATTTTGAACAGCGAGAAATAGACAAAGCCAGTCTCTTTTATTAGAGCTCCATCAATACAGTGCTGAGCTCAGAGCAGTATGCTAATGCTGCTGCTTACTGGCACTTTCAGAGAAACCAGACACAATGTGACTGCTGCTTTCTCATGCCAGGTCTAGTTTTTATACCTTGTTACTTTCTCGGCTCTGGCTGGGCCAGTTGGCTTCTGTGTGTCAAATGTGAGAGGAATTTTAATGGGGGGTGAACCTGCTGGCACTCATATTTAGTGCTGGTGATCTAAATCGGTCCTGCGTTATATGCTAAGTGCTGAATGCTGACTAGAGCATTTGAAAGACAGAATACCTCACACAGAGACCAGATTACTTTTGTAAGTCATAAATTATAGTGACAGTTAAAACGATTCTTCCACCACACCAATGTGCCACAAACAAATGAGCTTACTTGCTGTTTGTTAAATTAGAAGTTTGTAGCCGTTTATAATTGAGCAATTAGCAAGTTAACAGTTTGGGACTGTGGCATAATTAGCTACGATCAGATGTATACTACAAAGACATAAAACATAAAAGGAAGGAATATGCCATAAAACAGATTACAAAGTACAAAACATACTATTAAACTCTAACAGCTGACGACTTTGCCACATTCTTCATTAATAAAATTACAAACCTCAGTGCACAATTTGTGACACCACAAACTGTCAAACACATCTTACCAGCAAACATACACTCGTTTTCATCCTTCTCTCCACTCTCTGTGGCAGAAGTCTCTAAATTCAACCTTTCCAATCATCCTACTACTTGTCCGCTTGATCCTATTCCATCTCATCTCCTTCAAGCCATTTCTCCTGCC